GCTCTGCTTTTATTTCGGTGTAGATTAAAATGTCATCTAAGTACACTAAAACCCCTTGGCTCATGGGGTCCGAATAGGAGTACATTGGCCTGGAAGCACCCTAGCAGGGTGTTGAAAGTGATTTTCCATTTGTCTCCTTCCCCAATTCTGACCCTGTTGTAAGCTTCCTGCAAGTCCAACTTAGAGAAAATCTTTCCCTTGGAGAGGTGGGCTAACATGTCCTAATGAGAGGAAGGGGGTACACGTTCTCTACGCTGTGTTCAGACCCCTATAATCAATGCATAAGCAAAAACACCCATCTTTCTTTTCCCGGAACACCATCAGAGCTGCTATTTTGGGCTGGTTGAATGAAACCCTGGGCTAAGTTTTTGTCTATGACAGCCTACAATTCCTCGAGTTCCTTCAGGGACATGCAGTACAGCTTTGGCTTCAGTAGCTTCACCCCCAGGAGTATGTCAATTGCACAGTCTGTGATGTGATGGGTGTGTGTGAGTGTGTGTGTGTGAGCTCATCAGAGCTCTCTTCACTGAACACCTCAATTAAGTCTCTGTATTCCTGAGGAATGCCCTGTGGCAATTTGCCCTTCCATTCATTTCTGGGGCTTTCCCAGTTCCTCCCCATGGTTATCAGGTCCGGTCACTCCCCAGTGGAATCTTAGGATCCCCCCTTTCCAGTCTACTCTGCGGTTCCACCACTTCAGCCAGGTGAGCCCCAGAACCTGTGGCCGCTCCATTCCAGGTGCCACAATGAACATGAGTCTTTTGTCGTGGGCTCCCATGGCTATTTCCAAGGGTTCCGTAGCAAAAGTGGCCAGTTTCCCACCCTCAACTGACTCGTCTAGCTGACAAAATGAAATTGGAGTTTTTAGCTTCCACACGAGAATGCCCAATCTCCACATCAGGGTTGGGCTTATTAAGCCCTTGGTACACCCAAGTCCAGGAGGGTGGAAAGTCTTACTCTCTCTTTTTGGCTGGGGATGAATAGTCTTAGGGGCAATGTGACCGGCTCGACTGGTTCGCTTAACAAGTGGGTCATCTTCGGAGTCACTTTTGAAGGGGCTGGGGTCCTCTTGTGGCAGATTAGGAGTTCCCTTCCCTGGTTTTGCTAAGGGGCAGAACTCTATGACCTCCCCGTTTCTCAGTGCGGTGTTCTTCCCATGCAGGGTGGCCTTTGCTGTTTCCTGCTTGACAAGCAGTCGCGGTTCCAGGCCGGTGTCTTCGAGCACCACTCAGCTGCACAATGCCCATCCTTTCCACACTTGAAGCAGGAAGTGGTGAGGGGGCAGCCTGAGGCTTGCATAGCTCTTACTTCCCTTGGGGCAGTGATCTCTTCCAGGTCCTCCCAGCTTGGTACTGGTTTCTGGCTAGATCAATTTCCACTGCCAGGATGTACCAGTCATGGAGGTGATTTGGAGCTCTGTGGGCTAGGCAGACATGGTAGAAGTCATCATTCAGCCCATCCTTGAACTAGCTGACTAGAATGTCTTCTGGCCAGTCCATGCAACAAGTGAGGTCTTGGAATTTTTTGGTGTATTCAGCCACCGGCTGGTGGCCCTGCTTCACCATTCTGATGCAATTGCGTGCTTTTCAATCTGCTAGTGGAGTGCCATCATGAAACGGTTGACGTTCTGGAGCTCAGGGGCATTTGCATTGTGGAGGATCACAATCCACCATCCACCTAGCTGCTGTCCCCTCCAGGGCCAGGTGACGACGTGATCAGGCCCCCTGGGTTTGGAAATGTGCCAGGAAGAAACCCAATTGTTGTGGGTCTCCATCGTACTTGATGCCCAGGGGTGGTGTTTTCTGCTCCAATTGTGGGGCTCTCATTGGTCCTGAGATGTTTGCAGGGATCAGTGCTATGCACAGTGGGTTTTTCAGGGTGGCAGCTGCCCCACCTGCCCCAGGTATACAATGGCAGGGACTAGGGTGCTGGCTCTGGCTCTGTTGGTTGCTGCAGCTGCTTTGTTTCCTCTGTCTCAGTGGCCCAACTCACCCTGGGCTCTCAGGTTCTCAAAAATCTCCATCACAAAGCACATGATGTTTCTCTTGAGTCACTCGTCCTGGATCGACTCTTCAGCTAGGTCCTCATGATCCTTCCAGTTTGCACTTCCATCCCAATTGCCGGCCACCCCAGGTGAGGGTGACACCTTTGGTTCTTCCATCCCAGCTGTCTTTCTTCCCCACTCTGATCAAACATCTCAGCTTCACTGGGTTCTCCAGGGCAGCAGCTTCTTCGGTAGAGCATCCGGAGGTTGCGTCCAGCTGGATGGTGGTGGTGGTCTCACCTCTGCATTGTCCATCGCCGTGCTCGCTGCCCTGCTCAGACATGGCTTGCAAGGTCTCCTCAGTGGAGCAATGCTTCTCTGGGTTGACCACTTTAGAGATCCTGCTTAATGTAAGGACTAACTGCTCCTCTCTATTCAAGAAAGTAGAACTCTTGAAATGATCGGCATTTCAAAAGGAAACTTTTATTGGCATTTCAAAAGGAAGGTGATAGCAAGACAAAGAAAGCAGGATCTGAGGATTCCTGCGCAATTCTGTTAGGTTAAAAAGATAGAAACCCCTCCCCTCGGTCTGTTGTAGGACAAGCCAATCCACAGGTGTGAAATTGTTTTGAGAACCTCAGGCTGAGAAGGTAATAAGTAGTTCTCAGGCATTGCTTGCTGGAGGCTCCGGTGCTGAGACAAAACAGGTGGCCCTCAATTCAATCCCTCCCCCCTTACATTCCCAGGAAGGTAAATCAAAGTACAGGAAACAGGAAAAAAGTTATAAAGTGAGCAATGCATCCAGGCCCTCCCCATCGGAATGGCAGTATCCTGATATGGATTTATGGGACCTGACAGTTCCCCTGGTTTAGATAAGATGCATGGATTCTGTTGAAATCACTAAGAGGTTTGCATGCAAGATTAGCAAACCAGATAAATCAGGTTCTGGAAACAGTAGAAAGTGAAAAATAGCTAACAACGAGAAGAACGTTTTTGATTTAGAAGGATGCATAAAAGGGAAATAAACCTGAAAATTACAGACCAATAACTTGCTTTCCAACAATATACAAATTACTTAAAGGCATTATTGCAAACCAAATGTATGGATATTTGGAAAACAAGGATTTGCTGCCTGTAGAACAGAAAAGGTGCTGCAAAACTTCATGAGGAAACAAGGACCAACTGATAATTGATAAACTGGTTTTGAAGAATTCAGAGAAAAGAAAAACAAATTTGTTCATGGCCTGAATTGATTATAAGAAAGCATTTGATTCTGTTCCACATAGCTGGATTGAGAAATACTTAGATATTTCTGGAATTAGCAGCAACATCCAGAAATTCCTGAAGACTCCCATGAAACTATGGCAAACTAAGTTGATGGCCTGTGGAGAAGAACTTGATGAAGTTGAAATCAAATGAGGAATCTTCCAAGGTGACTCATTGTCAACTCTGTTATTTGTACTTTTGATGGCACGACTAACAAGCATTTTGAATAAGACAAAAAAGGGTTGAAAATTTCCCATTTACTTTACATGGATGATTTTAAATTGTTTGGAAAAACAAAAGCTGAATTGAGCTCACTCTTGAAAAGCTGGAGGAGTCTAGCAGAGACTTTGAAATGCAATTTGGCATTGACAAATGTGCAACTATTGCTGTTAAGGCAGGAAAAATTGTTGAAAATGATGGATTCAAACCTGACAACAAAGAGTTGATAAAAGCAGTAACAGCAGAAGAAGGGTACAAGTACTTAGGAGTTTTGGAAGCTTCTGACCTGTTGCACAAACAAGTCAAGGAAGCTATTTCAACAAAATACATAAAGCGAGTCTGGAAAATCTTGAAATCAAAGCTCTTCTTCTTCTTCTTGTGCCATGTCCGTCATTGGACGTTGGCGATCATGTTGGCAATCCTATTTTTGTTAATAGCTGTATGAAAAAGTGCTGCTGAGTTTTGTCCAAACCAATCCCTTAGGTTTTGAAGACATGATGTTCTTCTTCTGCCTGGTCCGCGTTTGCCTTCAATTTTTCCCTGGAGGATTAAGTGAAAGATGCTGTATTTTTCTGGGTGTCGCATCACATGTCCAAAATACTCTAACTTTCACTTTTTAATGGCTTTGATGATCAAAGCTCAGTGAAGGAAATATCACAAAGGCAATTAACACCTGGGCAGTGCCTATAATCTGATACTCAGCTGGAATAATTGATTGGACTCAGCTAGAACATGATAACTTAGATCAAAAAACAAGAAAACTATCAACAATGCACCATGCTTTGCACCGAAAAAGTGATATTGATTTATTGTATTTGTCAAGATCTGAGGGTGGCACGGGTCTCTTCAAGGTGAAACTGTGGAAGAGGAAAAAAATGACTACATAAAAAAGGCAAAAGAGCATTTGCTGAAGGAGGTGAACAAGAGAAATTTCTTGAAAACAACAAGACTGAAAGCAGAATTAAAAAAAAAACCAATTAAGCATCGAGTTTCTAACCAGAAAAAAAAAAGCCTATGCACAGTCAATACCTGAAGGACATTGAAGGAAAGGCAAATACAAAGCTAACATGGAGCTGGTTGAGATCAGGGATATTGAAGAAAGAAATGAAGGCTTCATTTTGGCTGCTCAAGAACAAGCCTTAAAGACTAATTTCATGAAAGCAAAAATTCAGTATGTCAGTAACAACAGCAAATGTCACTTATGCAATGAGAAAGATGAAACAGTGGATCATCTTATCAGTGGCTGCAGCAAAATTTCACAGACTGATTATCTACAACATCATGATTGAGTTGCCAAAATCATACTTTGGAAGCTTTGCCAGAGGTTTGGATTTGAATGCAGCAAAAATTACTGGGAACACTAAGTTGGCAAACTTCTTGAAAATAAACAGGTCAAGATCTTGTGGGACTTTTGAATTCAAACACAGATATCTGGCCCACAACATGCTGACATCATTATTGTGGAAAAGAAAAAAGTCTGATTCATTGATATTGCAATACCAGGTTGTTGCAGAAAAATAAAGGAGATGAATTTCGAAATCGAGGAAAGCTTTTATTTTGGCCAAGGTGCATTCTGTTTACATTCTGAACAAAGACCTTGTTTAAGACACGTATCTTTATACTTTTCAGTTAGTAACAAAACAGGAAATGTGAAATAAACCTCCTACGTGCTAGGCTCACCCCTTCCCTTATTCCTTAGGCAGAAAAGCTCCATGTGGTTTAGTTCTGCATTTTAACATGGTACCAGGAAGTTAGTTAATTCTTGTGGTTTAACTTTTTGAACCCAGCAACTATTTCTTTGCCTGCGGTCTGACTTCTTGAACTCTGCAACTTTCTCAAGTCAAAGGGGTCCTTCAGAGATCATCCAGGCTGACGTATTATTTCACTCTTATATCCAATTTCACTTTATGTCCTACTTTAAGGTGATGCATGAATTGAGGAGAAACAGCTAGAAAAAAATAACAAAACATTGTGATTTGCAAATTGAAGTTGAGTGATTATGAAGAAATCAATGGTTGTATCAATAGTAATAGGAGCCCTTGGAGCAATATCCAAAGGGCTGCCTAGATATGTGGAAATTTTAAAGTTATTTAATATTGTGGCTTTGCAAAAAAGCACTCTACCCAGAACGGCCTATATACTCAGACGTTACCTTAAAAGCTCATAAGTTCTTGGTTAGGACTTGAACTGTTAAATTTTTATCAGTCCCAGACTGTGAATGAAATTGAAGACTAAATCTTAAATAATAATAATACCAGTAGTAATAATAATATTATTTAATAATATTTAATATTTAATAATATTTAGCTAATAAAAGCTAAAACTCAAATTGGCACTCTCTTTATACATGATGTCCTGCCGCAAGCAGTGGCACCAGCGTAATGAGCCACGGGGTATCTTGCTGCAAGCGCCACTGGAGAAATGAGCCACATGACACCCTGTCACAAGCAGTGGTACTGGCACAATGCACCATGTGGTGTTGGGCCTCAAGCGGCCACAGAAGTCATTGTGGCAGTCCTAAGGTAAGCGGGTGTGGTGGGCATGGGGCAGCTCCAGCCCTCATCCCCGCCCTAGCTTAATTTTTACACGTGCCTTGCCTCACCTCGTACAACCACAATGGTGGGATGGAATGGGCAGAGTCTTAACTAGGGCTTATTTTGGGGGTAGGGCTTATATAAGGCACAAACGTAAAAATCATAATTTTCAGGATAGGTCTTATTTTTCGGGAAACATGATATTTCATACTTTTTTTCAGAAGAAAAGTGTTCTGAAAAAAATTACATTTACGTTCTACTCAGTACATGCTGATTATCAATATGTTCAAAATGTTTCACTGCTATATAAGTAGTCCCCAACTTATATTCATTTAGTGACCATTCAAAGTTACAACACTAAAAAATGTGACTTATGACCATTTTCCACACAACTACCTGTATTTGGTGTTATTTCTCTCCTTTTACAAGCATAGGCTTAAATTTTATAATTCTGAATTCCCTCATCTTTGCGGATGAATTAAATCAATGACACTGCTGAATATTTATTAATAATTATTGCTGTAATTTTTATTAGTAGTAATATTAATATCAGTGTACAGTACTTTGGTGGGAATACTGCTTTTTCATTTCATTTTTCATTATATGTTAAAAATTCCTTAGAACTTATGAAAAGTACAAGTACAGTTTACAGGGAACTATTTTTTTTTTCCAAATGGTGGCTTCATGCTATTAGCTGAAGAAAGATTCTGCAATGTTGTCTTTGACATAGTCTGCAGTCTCAAACATCTCCTTTGAGCTTGGCATTGCAGAGACATCCCTGTTCTGGATCAGAAGGAAACAGATAATTTAAAGAGAGCAGATACTCACTTGGCACCTGGCAGCAGCAGTTTACAAAAACATTTTTTCCTTGCCCATTTAAGTACCAAATCATCTCTTTTTCTTAAAATCTGCAACCCTGCAGCTGTGAATTGGCCAATGCTTTTACAGATGTATTAATGTTTGCTTAAATTTCTCCACAAGGGAACAAAGAGGTGGCAAAAGAATTTATTTAAATGATTTTGGATCTTCAAGATCTATTAAGTGTATTTACCTTCCCAGCCTTTCGTTCTTTCTTCTTGTAAATTATACAATTTATATTTTGCAGCTAACCTCAAAGAGGGAGGCTGCTGAATGCATCCGGTAGAAAATGGAAAAGGGCATTGCAAGATTCACCACAATGATCCAAGGTTCAAATCCAAAAACCATTTCTTCCAGGCCATTGTCATACTCAGGGCGGCAACCAAAAGCTTGTGGAATCCAAAGCTATAAAAAAAGAACATTTTTTTTAAAAAAAATCTAGATTAAAAGTTATCTGTGAGATTATACTGGGAACAATATTTTTCAGCTTGATTCATATAATTTAACTAAAAATTCAGTTGCAGAATTCTAAATTTTATTTTGTATTGTGTAATTGTTCACATGGCCATGTAATCTTTGTCCTGGTTTCAAAAAAATTTTCTTAGGTTTAAAATTATACACTGAAAAAACAACAGAACTTAATATTAATTGAACAAAATAAATAATTTTAATAATAGCTATGAGGAGCAAGGGGACTCATTGTACTTCATAAGCCATTGTAGGGCATAACTGACCTTGTCAGACACAGCACCTGGCTTTTTTTCTTTCTTTTTTTTTTTTGGCAACTGCTAATACATGAATTTTTTTCTGGATCAATTACTTCATGATTTCCTAGGACATTCTAAAAACATTTTATTATTAAATGCATTTACATCTCTGACCTTACTATTGTTGCTTTTAATGCTATATCTGATTGGTCTACCAAGGTACCCTCATGCTGTTTTAATGACTTGCCTACAGTAAAATTTAGTTATTTTATCCTAAATGAAATCCAGCATTAGTCTTGCTAGGAACATGTTCCTTGACCTTTATCGTTACAAACTGCCAAGATCCAGCCACCTTAGAAATCCTGCATCCCTATCTCCTATTTTCCATAGAATCACAAACGCAAAGTTGAATGGGACACCAGAAACATCTTGTGCAGAAATCCATCACATCAGCATCCCTCATCTCCAGCCTCCCACCCTACCCCCCCCCCCCCAGCATACGAAACTCCATCATTCCGTGAGGCTGGCTCTTTTGCTGGTAAATGGCTGTTACTGTTAATTGGAGTTATGTTCAGTCTTTCATTCACAGTGGCTAAAACTCCCTCGTTCTATTTTTCCCTACTGCAACAACCTACTGCAACAACCAGCTAAGGGGGGGGGGACTTTAATCTGGGTCTCCCCATTCCACTATGCAATATTAATAATAATTAAATTATTGATAAAGAGAGGACAAGATTGTTCAGGACATGCTCAGCTTGAAATTTACCAGAACTGGAGCCAAAGAGGGTTTTGAAAATCTTCACACTTTGCTGCTCTTATGAGCAGACCTAGGAAGGATGATTACATCCATGTTCTTATTTCTTTTCTTATGAACAGGTTTGCTTATTTTGTAGACCTGTTAGAACTGCAGTAATCACTTTTTGTAGAGAAAAATGTCACTGTCTCAAAAAATGTTTCTTTCTTTACCAGTCTTCAGCCTTTGAAAGCATGTGTGGGGGCGGGGGCGGGGGCAGTACTGTATAGAATATAGAATGGTATCTATTTTAATCCGCTACTTAGAGAATTTATAGTCTCTTGAATGAAAGGACTGAACTGACTATTCCCAATATTTGTTCTTTTTTATAATGGTATACCATACACATTTGTAGGATGACTCAGGGCTTGATGCGTTCCCCTTTCCTTTTTAGTACTGGGCGAGTATCTGTTCGGGGTTGATATCATCAGTACATTTATATCTCCATCGTAGCTTGTACAGGTGAAGTTACTGATATATTGACCTCATGTTTAGATCTGTTTGCCCCCCCCCCCAGGTCAGGGACATTATTGGTCTTGGAGGGGGCTTCACTTGCCCAGTCAAGATTGATGTGCAACTTGGGGGTCCTTCTGGATTCATATAGCAACTGCTTGAAGAACAGGTGGCAGCTGTGGTCAGGAGGGCCTTTGCTAAGGTTCATCTGGTGTGACAGTTGCACCTTTTCTTTCACCAGGTGGCCCTTCAGATCTAATCTTTATTTCTTTACATAATCTTTAATTATGGTCTAATCACATAGATTACTGCAATGTGTGTTTACATGCAGATGCTCTTGAAAACCATCCAAAAACTACAGCTAGTACAAAATGCAGCAATGTAAGCAATAATTGGAAATATATTTTAAAATATATTTTAGCTACCATACGGAAACCGAGAGATGTAGGTTTAATCCTTCAATCTCTTCTTAAATATAGAGATAAATCTGATTAAATTTATTTATAATGGTTTCTTTTAATATAATTTAATAGCACAGCTCATATTAGCCTTGTCACTAATATTCTCCTTCCCTAAACAGGGAGCAAATCACTGAAGACAGTTCTTCTTCTGGACATTAGTTCATAGTTTCCGTTCATTAAATAAATGAGATGTGCCATTACCCATCAACTCAGCTACTATCAGGAGAGTATCAAAGCAGTGAAAATGTTGGACTGACCAAACTCCGACTTTCTAGCACTCCCCTTCCCACAATGGACATACCTTGGTGGAATCTCAATCCAACTCACAATGCCACAGAAGAAAATATACAAGAGGGAATGTAATATAAATTACTTAAAGGCTCTGGTTATTTATTTGGATAAAAATCTAACAAATAAAATATAACAATAAACATACATCGAACCTGGAGAAATTTTCTTCCAAGCTTGCATGTTTTCCTGTTCTGAAGTCATCTCTGTCACTTGAGTTGCAAAACTCCAGAGAACATTGTATTGCAAAACTCTAAAGAACACTGGATGAACTCTGTCAGGCACAAGCAACCAAAACCACTTGTGAATGGACTCAAGCAGAAGCTTTGCTGTTAGTCACCTATGTTATAAGAATTTCACTAGACTAATTGCATTCCCTTGGAATTGGGCAAATAAGGTTTCAACAATTCTGGGGGAAGTCAGCCTTATGCTGCTTTCTGCAGTGAAAAGACTCTAAATTTAAGAGCGGGCTTAATACCTCCCTCAGTCTAGCTGGACATTCCACCACAATTTTGCTGCTGTCATCTAATAGTCCTTCAGATTTCTGCAGTCCAGATGTGATGACTTCCAATGGAAGACCAAACTACTTTCTAAACAGAATACTTCTTTACAGCCATTTCTGAATGTACTTCCAAGCCTTCAACTGATTAGTAATCCTTCAAAAACTGTTTTGTTTCTAAAATGCAGTGCCTTGGAAGAATTGATGAGCCATAGCAAAAATCTCAGCTAACTAGAAAATCATATTGAATTATAGGGATGTTTACTATGGTGCACTGATTTTGGCTTTAATAACATTTAATCTGTTTTTCTAATTGGTACATAAAAATTTAATGTGTCTAGAAGTTAATTAGCATAATTTGTAATTCAACTGTAATTTGTAATTCAGCAAAGTTTAGTAAAAGTTGAAAATGTTGATTTAAAACATATCAGTCAGCTGGTTAATATGGTATGGTTAGTTAACCCCTAGTGCAGTGATGGCGAACCTTTTTGGCGTTACATACCAAAAGTCCGAACACACAAATGTTGTTGCGCTCACGCTTGCCAGCACCCATAATGCAATGCGCTCCCCCATTTGCGCATCTGCGCACAATCCCCGCTACCCCTGTGCATGCACCCCCCCCTCACACTGCACATACACACATTCACCCTGCACTGCGCATGCGCACACACCCCGCACATGCACCCCCAATTTTTCCAAGAGGACTGGCGCACCTTTTACCAGAGGACAACCAGGTACAGGCCCGTTCACTGGAGAGACAGCTGTTACCTGGCCGGCGGCAGCGCTCTTGGCCCCACCACCTCAGCAGCGCCATTTGCTGACCAGGGAAGCTCCGAATGCATGGCTTTGCCTGGGCTCCTCCCCGCTGGGAGCCACAGGCCAAGCAGGTGTGGCTGAAGGTGCTTTGGTGGACCAGCAGCTGGTGAGGGCAGGATGGTGGCTGCCTGTGCAGATGACCCCGAGATGCTGCTCTTGGCTCGCTCCACCAATCACGCAGGTTCCCTGGGCTGTGGGCATTGATGCGCTGTCTCTGGTGTCCCTCCTGCGCAGCCTCAGCTGCAGGGGTAAGGGCAAGAGTGACTGGCCAGCTCAGGGACAAAGGACAGAATTTGTTGGCTGGGCGGCTGGTTGCCCTGCCAGCTGCTCCTTCCCCGGCATTGGCTTGGCCGGCGGCACAGCAGTGGGCGTGGCAGGGGTTGGACAACGGGCCCAACTGCAAACGGCATGGCACCCCCACCCGCCGCCTGCCAAGCCAAGATGAGCCGGGCTCTCCGGCTGCCGCAGGGGGGAGGTGGCGCCCCCCACACCAATGCCGGGAAAGGGGCAGCTGTTGCTCTTCTGGGGTGGTACGGCTGTGCACAGGATGCCCACAGCCCAGGGGACCTGTGCGGCTGGTGGAGTGAGCCAAGAGGGGCATCTCGGCCCCACTTTGATGGCGGCAATGGGGTCATCCACACAGGCAGTCCACCACTATCCCGCCCTCACCAGCTGCTGGTCCACCAAAGCCCCGCCAGCTGCACCTGCTCAGCCTGCAGCTCCCAGTGGGGAGGAGCCCAGCCAAAACCACGCATGGCGCTGCTGAGATGGTGGGGCCAAGAGTGCTGCCATTAGTTGGGGAACAGTGATTCCCAGCGAGAAGGAGCCCAGGCAAGGCAGCATGTTCGGAGCTTCACCGGCTGGTGCATGGTGCTTCCAAGGTGACAGGGCCAAGAGCACTGCTGCTGGCTGGAGAACAGCGGCTCCCAGTGGGGAGGAGCCCAGGCCACGGGGTCATCTGCACAGTCAGCCCACCACCACCACTCCGCCTTCACCAGCTGCTGGTCCACCGGTGCTCCAGACCACCTGGGGCCATGCAAGAAGCCCGTGCGGGCAGGGAGGAAGGGAAGCCCCAGCTTACCTTGCTCCACTCCCTTAGGAAGTGACCGCCAGGATCCGTTCTCTGCATCCTTTGGCATGTGCGCCTGTTGCTGGTCTTCGTGCGCGCATGCATACCAGAAACCAGTCCAGCTGGATGGTGTGCATGCGCACTCTAGAAAAAGGAAGATCATCATCCAGCATGTGCAATGGGCGGCTGCTCTTCCGGTTTCCAGCATACCCATGCACATGAAAACCAGCTGGCTGGTGCACCAGAACCCAGAAGAGCAACGGGTGATGGCTCCGCGTGCCTGGAGAAATGGCTCTGCGTCCCACTTCTGGCACACATGCCATAGGTTCGCCATCACTGCCCTAATGCCTATAGATGATAATAAAAGAGATAAAATCTTCCTTTGGGGAGAGCATATAATAGTATGCTGCCCAGAACTGTTTTCATTTTGTAATTTTAGAACATTCTTGCTTCTCAATTCTTGTCCCTTTTGAAAATGATGCTTGGTTGCTGGTTTGTGAGTAGAAACTGAAGTGTTTTTTTTTTTTATTACACTAATTTGGCTATCTTTGTTGGTTGAAGAGCAGGGTACAAACAGTTAACCAGTTCAATATTTGCTTACTCTTTGGAAGATAAAAGGACCAAGGACAAACTGTCCAACAGTTCATCAGGCCTCCAGTGGTTGTGATCATACAGCTGCTTGACAAGTTACATGGGTAGGAAGAATTTCATCTTCTGATTTCTGCTTAATATTAACTTCTGCTGAAGTTAATGTTAAAGGCAAAACACATTGAGGGCAATTGTCCCGCTACAGAAATAAATTACATTATTTTAAATACTTACTGAGAGATTACACAAGAACAAAAATACAGCAATATTCTTCAAGATACTTCTTTTGTTGTTGACAGAGAAGTTTCTCAGTGTGAATGAAAAATCTGGAGAGGATGGAGGGACTGGAATCTTGCTCTGATTGATGTTTCCATGGAAAGCACAACTGGAATTGTTCTCAGATGGATAACTATTTCCATAAAATGTGGATGACAATTTTCCATTTGTTCCATTATAGATTTCTTTGTAGGAAGCTACAGGGGAGAGATTGCTTCCACTAGACACTGTTAATATTCGCAGAGTTTTAATGTCATCATTACTCTTGTCATTCTCACGATGTATAGATTCAACTATGAAGAGGTTCTGAATATATTTCTCAATGATAACAAGTACAGAATAGGGCAAACTGAACCATGTATATGCTGGATGGGACCGAGCACAGATAATTGCAAGAATAGAACCCCAAGAAAGAAGCCAGGAACCTGAGGCTGTCCCCACCAAGAGGTCTGCATCAAGTTTTCTAGCTGGATTTTTAGAAATATCTAGTGAATTGTCTTCAAGTCTATAGATTAGAATCGCCACAATGCCTGCTGCACACATGAGTGCCAGTACTGTGATGGCATACAAATAAAACATAATAAGTGCTAGTTCACTCTTTAATTTTGAACGCCCAATCTGAATAAGATACACAACTACAACTACTATTGTTGTAATAAATACTACTAGACCTAAGATGCTGCCTATTGCTGTGCCCTGAAACTTGAATGGCATCTTATGTGGCTGTAGGTATTCAACTTTACGCCCAATGTTTTTCCAGACCACGTACAGCATTGTGGATGCTAAAATGTGATATTCAATATTGAAGGGGTATAAATAATATATTCCTTGGGAAAATATGGAACAGAGGGTGCTGTAGGTACAGTTGCAAAGTGGTGTATGATCATCCAGCTCTATGCAGAAAGAAAAGAAAAAGAGAATTAAAGCATTTATTAATTTTAAAGGAATTCCTATCTAAAAATTCCTAAAACAGGATAGAAATACTGTTATATTTTAGCATAATATATTATGAACTTATACAGGCAGTCATCAACTTACAACAGTTCATTTAATGACATTTAATGACTGTTCAAAGTTACAACTGCATTGAAAAAAGTGACTTTTGATCATTTTTCACTTATGACCATTGCAGCATCCCCATGGTCACATGATCAAAATTCATGGCAACTGACTCATAGTTATAACAGTTACAGTGTCCTGAGATCATGTGATCCCTTTTTGTGACCTTTTAACAATCAAAGTCAATGGGGAAGTCAGATTCATTTAACAATCATGTTAAGTGGTTAACTTAATAACTGCAGTGATTCACATAACAACTCTGGCAAGAAATGTCATAAAATAAGAAACTCACTTAACAACTCAACAAAATTCAAATTTAGCAACAGAAATTTTCGGCTAAATTGTGGTCGTGAGTCGAGGACTACCTGTACTATAAGTACAGTACTATAGTACTTATTATTACAGGTAGTAATTTGTCAAAGACAAATAATATTCATATTTTAAATAAGATATGACAAGTCTCTTAAAGTGATATTTTTTTCCAAATTTCCAAATTTGTATGCTAAGCTGTGACAAAAAGTTAAAAGAATTGGAAGGGACCTCATAGGTCTTCCAGTGTCAGGATCTCCATTGTCGCCCTGGTGCCTTGCTGGCATCCTGCCATCAAAGGGGAAGGGAGGGAGGAGGAATTTGGGGCAATCTACACCTGTGTATCAAATGATGGGAAATGGGGAGGGGGAGCTGACATGTGAAGACAGAAGCTATTTGTACCGGTTACTGTGGGCATCTTCAAGGCTCCTTGCCCTGGGTGTGAAATTTCAGCAGCCTGAACAACCCAGAGCTTCCCAGAATATCACAACGATCCAAGATTGGGTGGCAACGGACTGGACATTGGCGGGGGGAGGGTTGGGGAACGTTGGGTTTGGCTCTTTGTATCAGTGAGTAGGAACTTCGGATTCTGCCTCACTTTCCTGCAACCAACATCTTTAGTAAAAGTTATTTTCATTTCAATCAATTGGAGTCGAGAGTCTGCTTTCCTAAATGATTGGGGGCAGGTCTGACATTAAGCAGAATCTGCAATTTTGGCCAACCTGGAGAAGATATTACCTCTACTGTGGGGACCATACATACAATGTCAACTAAAAGTAGCAACCAGGAAGAAATTGAAACCAGGGAGAGGTGTCATTGAGGCCACCTCTTGGAGCACTGGATCTTTCTGAGTGGCATGGGGAGGATGACCCGCTGAGGCCCCAATAGTCCCTAGGACTTGGAAGAAAAGAGAAGTCAGTAGAGAAACCTAAAAACTCTTCACCTGGTCCAACAAAAATTCTGGTGGTTGAAGATGAAGGCCAACATGGAGGACTATGTAAGGAGTTGTGCCACCTGCACCAAAATGAAGATTAGACTAGGGAAACCTCCTAGACTCCTCCAACAAGTGGCTAACCCTAGCCAACCATAGGAGGAGATCACCATGGACTTTATAGTCAAACTCCCAGAGAATGGGGGGAAGCAGATTTATCGGCTGCACGGAGTGCCCCACCAGGTGATATCAGATGTGGGGATCCAGTTCACCACCAAATTCTGGAGGGAGTTCCTGAAATTTGTCAGATCGACTCAGCGGCTTAGCTTGGCTTTTCATCTGAGCACGAACGGAGCCACAAAATGGAAGAACGCAATGGTGGAACAATACATAAGGTTGGATCTGCTGTCTTTCGTAGAAGTGGCTTACAACAACGCCATGCATAACAGCACCAGATTAACCCCCTTTCAGGTCACCAGTGGCATGGACTTTGTTCCCATGCCTGAGCTGCCAAGAGAGCCACCCTCCTCCAGGACTCTAGCAGAATGGATGGAGTCATTAAAGAAGGGCTGGGAGGACATTAAGAAAGTGCTGGTGGAAGCCACGGAAGCATACAAAAAACAAGCTGACAAACACTGGTCTCTCCAGCACCCTTCTCTGTGGAAGATCGAGTTTACCTATCAATCAAATACATTCAATTGAAATTACCCATTTCTTAGGGCCTTTTCTGATAGTGAAAGTAATTAACCCAGTGACAGTTCAGCTTAACCTCCCACGCATACTAGGGAAAGTGCATACAGTCTTTCACTGACAGTCTGCTGAAGCCCACAGTCAGTTCAAGATTGAGACCACAGACCTGACCAGCACCCAAGCCCATAGTGATGCAAGGGGAGACCCATTACGAGGTTAAGAGAATTTTAGACTTTAGATTATACAGGAGTCAATTGCAATATTTAGTTCATTGGAAAGGATACCCTTTGTCTGAGGCTACCTGGGATGTAAGGGCAGATAGATTAATAAAGCAATTTCATGATAAATTCCCTGATAAGCTAAAGGGTCCTCCTAGGCGGGGGGGGGGGGAGAAGTGGTTAGGGAATGACTGAATTAACCTCCTATGTTCCTCTCGTTCCAAGACACGATCATCGGTTGAGGGGGGGGCAGCCTGTCAGCCTTGGAGGCCACCTTTTCTTTTGGATCTTCAGGGCTGCCACACTTAGTTTCTGGGAAACTGGGAGGGGGGTTTGCATGGACCTGGTAGAAGTATTTAGCCATAACAACATTCTTTTCTCTGAGAGTCAAGGACGTTCAGCCTGCACCTGGAATGGAGTGACTGGGAGGCATCTCCAGTTGGGACGGTGGATTGATTAGACCATGTGATGGACATGTGGGTGCAGGGGAAGGAACTTCGACATTCCTTTGGGTGGGGAAAACCCGGGAGATTTCAGATTTGGGTTTTCCCAGATGTGCCAATATGACATCTCTAATAAAATGGAACTTTGAGGAACTGCTGGCCTTGGAGTGTTCATTGGTTGGGGTTGTTACTTGGAACTCTGACAGAAACTTTGCACTCCCCAGTTATATGCTAAACTTTCTAAATGTGAGTTCCATCAAAGCAAAATTGACTACTTAGGATACTGCATAACAAAGGGATTGAAATTGACCCCAAAAAAGTCTGTGCAGTACTGGACTGGGCTCCACCCCACACTAGAAAGCAACTGCAGAACTTTTTGGGATTCACAAACTTCTAGGCAATAAATCCCCTGCACACATTGCCAGCCCATCACAAACTTGCTAGAAACAAAAAGAGGGGGTATGCCCAAGCCCAGCAGATGAAATCAAAACTCCTAAAACCAGAAGGCTGTCGATTTTGAAACGGATCAGGCCTGTTGCAGCCATCTTTCTATTTTTAAGGTTGCCACACAGTATGGGAGGGGGGGACAGACTTGGAATGCAGACCAGACAAAAAACCTACTATCCCATGGGAACCAAGGTCATCCCAACAGGTGCTGGTGAGAGATTGGAAGATGTTACTAAGGAGAAGACAGAACACCTAATTGGACAATGTGACCTGTGACAATGAGGAAGGGAGTTATCTATTCTTTAATTATACTGAAAATGCGGGAAATAGCCAGAGCTGTTTTTTTTTTTACCATTCGTGCCGAAATGATGTACTCAATAAAATGATTCTTTGAGAAAAGTGCAAATTTCAGAGTGCTGAATTGGTTGGGTTCATTAGTTGGAACTTGACATTAAACCAGCTCTTCATCTCAAGCTTTAATTAGCAAATAATTCCTCCGGCATCCTGAGACCCGGCCACCTACCCGATCATCCTCAGGAGGATGGAAAAGACTCAGGGAAGATTAGATTTGATTAACAGTTGGAAGGGACCTTGTAAGTCATCTAGTCCAACCCTCTCACCCAAGCAGGAGACCCTACACCATCTCTGACAAATGGCAGTCCAATCTCTTCCTGAAAGCCTCCAGTGATGAAGCTCCCACAACTTCCGAAGGCAAGCTGTTCCATTGGTTGATTGTTCTCACTGTCAGAAAATTTCTCCTTATTTCTAGGTTGAATCTCTCCTTGATCAGTTTCCATCCATTATTCCATGTCTGGCTTTCAGGTGCCTTGGAAAATAGCTTGACCGCTTCCTCTCTGTGGCTGTCAGATCCCTAAAAGTGATACTGCCATTCAGTTGGAGGAGGGGGGACACTTGGATTCGATTCCCTAGCATCGCCTGTGTCAACATATGCTTTACAACCTATATCCTGGCACCAAAGAGCCCTGAGATCTCCTTTACCTGCAGGAATTTTTATGATAGCCATGTGGGTTGTCTCACTTTAAAGTAAATGGTGGGAATGCATGTTTGTTCGGGTTCTCATAGGAAATAGTAAAGAAAACATCTTCACACTTGTGTATTGGCTAAAATCTGCATTCTGACTTAAAGGGAGGGGTCTCTACCACTTTAATCCTACTGCTTTGCCTAAGGGTATACAGATCTTGCTTTAGCTGGATGGCTGTCACTTCTGTTTAATAAAAGAATCCTTTTGAACAACCACGTTTCAAGAGTTCGTACTTTCTTAAGTTGGAAGGAGAGGGGATCCTTACAGTGGCAGCCCCTCAAATATTGGAACACTGCTATCATGTCTTCTCTGGTCCTTCCCTTCCCTAGACTAGCCACACCCAGTTCCTGTAACTGTTCTTCATGTTTTAGTCTCCAGTCCCCTAATCATCCTGGTTGCTCTTCTCTGCACTTTTTCTAGAGTCTCAACATCTTTTTTATAGTGTGGTGACCAAAATGCAGGGGAGAGCTGTGGCACTATCACCCTGGACCTGGCTGGTTCCCTGGTCACTGTGGGCCTCCATACCCACCTCCACCAACAGACCCTCTGCTGATAAAGGCCATCTTCAATGGCAGCCCAGGGAACCTGTCGTTCTTCCTGAACCAGGTGTGGGTCCATGTGGGCTGCCACGCCCCGGCCTGGATGAGGTGACTTCCTAGCAGAGTTTACCGCCAGGTTCGGAGCCATCAAACCCAGTCTGAACATCTGGCTGAGTATGTGTTGAACCATAATAATAAAAGTGTTCACACTTAGC